ATTCTTTGGTTAGCACAACCTTTCTCCATATTTATTTATGTTCTAGAGACGTGTTAAAGTAAAAGGATCTCTGAAATCGGGAAAATAGGATCGTGAGTCGGGGAATTCCCGGTAATATTGAACCGGACAGACCCCCCTTTTTCCTCCCCAATTTTTGCAAAATGGTCAGACTTTTTCCTTTCTTCCATCCAAATTGCCTTTGTAATTTTTGCCTACAATCAAACAAAAAGAAGATTATTTTTGATATTTTATTTCCCATTTATAGGGGAAAAATTGGGGAAGGAAAAAGGGGGGTCTGTCCGGTTCAATACATATTACCGGGAATTCTAACAAACTGACAAATGGACCTATTCAGTGTTTTTAATTGTCCAATTAAAATTTTTTTTTCATTTTTTTTAAATTTTTTAAACATCCAGCACAATCATTCCATTTAAAAACCACGCACAAATCTAAATATTTTGCGAAGTTTGTTTGCACCAATCACTTTTCTTCTGCCACATTCCACACTCCACACAAACAACACTGTTTCGCACAAATTTTATAACTAATGAAAATGGTAAATAATACAGCTTCTTCTTATTCATCAAATGAAAATGCAATTTTATCTGCGAATAAACGAAATAATAATAACCAACATTTGGTTAATGCAATTTCAATGGAATCATTGGATTCGGTTATTTCAACAAATAATGGGGCAATGTATGGAAATGGCAGTTCGGAAGCTCAATCACAGGTTTATATATTGAATATTTTGTTTCTAAAAATTAAAAAATTATTTTTTCAGGTCAGAACTCTTTTCGTCTCTGGTTTGCCTGCTGATGTCAAATCACGAGAGCTTTACCTTCTTTTTCGTGCCTATCCTGGATATGAATCTTCACAGCTTAAAATGACTTTGTCAAATAGAAATGGAACTTCGAAGTCATCAACTCCAGTTGGTTTTGTGACATTTGCTAGTCGACAAGATGCAGATGATGTTCGGCAAAAGTTGCAAGGTGTTAAGTTTGATCCTGAACTTTCTCAAACTCTCCGGTTGGAGTTGGCAAGATCCAATACAAAGGTTTTTAATTTTTAAGATTTTTTTTTTGGCTTAATATTTTTTCTTTTCGTTGAAAAATTTTCATGAATTTTATAAACTTTTAATTTTTGTTTTTCATAAACAATACAATTTAGGCAAAAATACTCAACTAATTTTAATTTAGGTTACAAAACCTGTCAAACAATCACCTCCGGCGAATCATATTTCACCGGTCACATCGGGATTAACTGCAACAATCCTTCCACCACCTTCTTCAGTTTTGGCACATAATATAACTGTTGCTCAATTAGCTGCTATTCAACAACAGGTTTTTCTTTTTTTTCTAAAATTTAAATCATTCAATTTTAGCAATTAACGGCCGTTCTACTTAACCAACATCACGATAATTCTGTTGTAAATGCAGGAGGGGCAAATGGAACAGTTTTGGCAGCAGCACAACATCAACAACAACTTTTGGCAGCTGCAGCCTCAGCACTTGATCATCAACGACATTTGGCAATTACGGCTAGTGGCTCCGATATTCAGCAGCAATTAGCTGCACTTGCAGCGGTAATTAAATTATTTATATTTTAAATAGAATAGAAAATTTTTTCTGTTTTGAGATTCTAAGGGTGAAATAGAATATCTTAAATACAATTTTGGAAAATAAAAATAATTCTTGAAATTTTTTTTATCATTTAATTTAACATACTTTACAATTTTATTTTCCTAATATTTTACAAAAAACAGGGCGGCTCAACTCTCTTAGGCAATACTACCAATGCAGCATCTCTTGCTGCGACAAACCCACAATTAGCTGCTGTTGCTGCACTTGCTGCTCAACAACAACACCAACATCGTTCTTTAGCAACTCATTGGCCTTCTAATGGCCAACAACAAATTTTAATGGCTGGACAACAACATTCGCCTTGTTCTACACTTTTTGTTGGAAATTTGGGTCCAGCAGCGACGACTTCTCCATCTATTGTTGAAGAAGAATTGAAGAGCGTTTTTGGAATGTTTCCGGGTTTCTCACGTATTAGAATGCACACAAAGGTTAATCAATTATTTTATTTTTTGTAATATTTCTATTTTTAAGAGAGGCTCTCCTGTAGCTTTTGTTGAGTTCTTCGAAGTTGGACAAGCAGTTCATGTTATGCATGCCTTACAAGGTTTTGGACTGTCTGCAAATAACGGTGTTGGCACAGGAATTCGTATTGAATTTGCTAAGACAAGGATGGGCGACACTTTCCTATCAAAACATGACGGGATGGGAGGAAGAGGAGATAGATAATTTGGTTTGGATGTTTATTTTATCAACGAAAGAAAAGGAATCTCGCTTTATTTTATCAAACATAATTACCTATATATGTAAGGACAACTTTAATTTATTCTTGAAAATTTTATATTTTTTTGACATTCTACAAAAATATTTTTTTGAAAGTCCTTTTTTGTAATCTGCGAGAATTTTTAATCAAATATATCTCATTTTTTACAATTTTTAAAACCAGAATTTCGTCAATTATGCATTTAAATGTACATCTCATAATTTTATAAAATTATAATTTTATTTTATCGTAATTTTTATTCCTTTTTGACTTTGTTATTTATATGTATTTCAGTTTATAAATATATTTTCTGAAAATAATTGTTTTTGATAAAAAGTAATATTTCTTTTTAATATTTTATTAGATATAGGGGCATTAAACATTTAATTAACAGATGGTTCCAAACAGATCTCGACGGGAAAATGCTGGTCGGAATATGCAACAACTTATTCAACAACAGTTAAACAAAGAAGGGGATAATGACGAATTTTATTCAGCAATCTATGGAGGATTTAAAGAGGTTTTTATTTTTAATTCTATTCTCCGTTATGGCCAAAGGATTCGTTAGGGGTGATTATTTGTAAATCAAAATTGAGCAAGATTTATGTGGGATAATTTACTCGGGACTAGTCAACTATACCTTTTCCTTTCGTTCTTATATTTTAAATAAAAAAGTTTGACAAGTAAGCGAATCTCTCCCCTTATAAATGACCATATTGGAGAACCTAAGTTTTGCTATTTGCGTCCCAGTCTGTCATTTTTATAAAAATGTTTAAAAATTTTTTATCTAATTTCAGGTGGATCAAGATGATGATTTTGAGTCGCCACCTCATTCTTCAGATGATGAGGTAGATTCGGACTTTGATCAACCTGAAGAAGAGGAAAACGATGAGGAAGGGAAAGAGGACGGCCTAATTGATGAGGCTGAGCGTGCCGAAAGAAGACAAAAGGTTCATTAAATTAGACTTTAATTTCGGGATTATTGTTAAAAATAAATTGGCTTTTGAATGTACGCGGCATCCGGAACTTTTTAAAAATTTTTAAAGTTGTCAAACAAAAAAAAATACAAAAACGAAAAGAATTTCTATTATTTTTAGAGATTGAGGCAAAAACAAATGTTAGAACGTGATAAAAATTGGGCGATTGCTCGCATCAATAAAATGTCCGTTCCCGAGAATAGTTGTGACCCTAAAACGCAACGTCAGAGACTGGAAGAAGCGAAGAATACAGTTTGGATTTTTAAAAATTTTTTTTCTAAATTTTACTTTCAGGCTGTACAGAATATTGAATCCCTTAAACGCTTCGAACAATTTGAATTGGAACGGAAAAAACGGCAACAAAAAGCAATCCCGCGCCAAATTTTGCATGGTCCTCGAATAAAAGAAATGTTTACTGCGGATGGCAAACATTTAGTTTTGGTTCCTGAATTACTTCCAAACGAAAAATTATTTCCAAAGTTTGTTTTTTATTTAACTTTCTAAATTTTGAAAAATAATTAAAATATTTCCAGACCTAAGAAGCGCGAATATCGTGTATGTTCCGTGACAGGCAAATCGGCTCGCTATATGGACCCTATTACAAGGTTACCATATGTAGATGTTAAAGCATTTCAAACGATTCGTGATGCTTATCGTAAATTTATTGTTTCTGAAGTGGAACCGGCAAATGAATGTAAGAAAATGAAGATGTAGTTTAAAAAATTTTTGTATTGTTTTGTTAACTCGCTCAAATCTTTCTTTCAAATAAAAACTGTCAATATATGTATGAGATAAAATTTGCAGGTTGCTTACTACTTTGAGATTATAAAATTACGAAAGTTTATTATTTTTTTTTATTTTTTTCCCCATTTTAAAAATTTCTATCTTTCAGTAAATTTTTTGTCAAAATGTTCTTTCAGTGAAAAATATAACGGTAAGTTGTCCTATTTCTAAACGATTAATGTGAATGACGAAACGTTCACTGACGCAAGGTCCATTGACAAAAGGTGTGAGGGAAAGTTTCGATTAAGGACGATTCAGTATCGCCGATTCAGTATAGCCGATTCAGTATCGCCGATTCAGTATATGGTCATAACTTTCCTGATATTTGACCGATTTGAATAATTCTCATATCATTCGAAAGGTCTCATGATTCTACATCTTTTTCATAATTGGCCCGATCTGATCTGATGATCAAAAAAAAAGTTACAACGTGAAAACCGATTTTTTATGCCTGTGACGTCGTTTATCAGTGATAACTTTTTGTAGAGTGATCAGATCAGGTCAGTCCAATTATGAAAAAGATGCAGCACCCCGAGGCCTATCAAATCATATATAATAATTCCTACAATATTGATCGAACAAAAAGTTATGGCCAAAAAGCCCAGATACTGAATCGGCCAATACTGAATCGGCGATACTGAATCGTCCCCTACCCGGAAAGTTTTTGTCAAAATGCCAAACAGCCACTAAAACGTTAGCATTGAAATGCCGTTTTCATTAATCGATGCAGCTTTTAAGTGATAATTAGCTTGTTAATTAAAATTTTATTTTGGATGCTTTTTAAGGGTATTCTGTCCCAAAATTCATAAAAACTACTTTTCAATGTCCAATATTTTTTAAATACTTTTTTATACTTTTGTATTTTTCAGAAAGCATTTAAATTTATTTATACTAATTATGGCAAACAACGAGGACGAACTTTCGTTTGGAAGTGATGATCATGATCCAACATTAAATGGGGCAGGAGCTACCGGTTCAATTTCTGTGGCTATGTCAGAGGACAATGTATATATTTTCTAATATTAATATAAGGGTTTTTAAAAATAATGTAAGGAAATATTTTGGGCGATATAGTAACTACATATATTTAGGGAAAAAAGGCATTCAATTTCACTGTATAAAAATTTTTATCTTACAAGAGTTAAGTTAACGATAGTTTTATTTAAATAATTTAGGATTTTGAAGACATTAATGAAAAACTGCGGCAGATTGAACAAGAAGCAGAAAAGATTCGTGCAATGCAAAGTGAAGTTGAAAAGCAGTTCCAAGGATCGAACAATGGCAGTCCAGGTGTAGCGCCGAGTCTGTCAGTTGAGGATAAAATGTTAATCGATGGACGGTCTATTTATGTGGGAAATGTGAGTTTAATAAAACTTTACGGTAATCTTCAGCTTTACTGGTCCCTAGAAAAAAATCAACAAGAAATTCGTTTTCAACATTTTTAAGGTTTACCAGTAGGTAATCGAGTGTGCTGAATCCAAATCTGAGCTTAGAATTTGTTTATTTCGAACCCCGGACCTTAATTCGACCAAGTCTCGAATTCGGGGTAAAACTTCAAAATTAGGATAATGTAGCTATTTTGACTCTACACTTTGAGCTGAGTCGAATGGTAATATTCTAAAATTATTATGCTTCTACAACTTTAGACGAAGTTAAAATGTCTGATTTGTATACGGAAGTCTCCCAAACGTGTATTTAATTGATCATGATGATGTCGAAACGTAATAATTTTGATACCATTCAACTCTACTCGAAGAGTCAGAATATTACTAAAATTAAAAATTCGATTTTTACCCCGAATTCGACTCGGTGGAATCGGGTCCGGGATTCGAAATAAACAAATTCTAAGCTCAGATTCGGATTCAGCACACTCGATTACCTCCTGGTGAACCTCAAAAATGTCGAAAAAGCATTTCTTGTTGATTTTTTTCTAGGGACCAGTAAAGCTGAAGATTACCAACTTTACTAATTATTTTCGGGCATTTTAAGATCTATTTTTTGAAGTTTTTGAATTCTGTTTTGACTTGTGCCCTTATATAATCTTTATCTTGCTCCTAGGGATCCATCCAAAAAAATTTCTATTGAGTTGAGGCTAATGTTAAAATTTGTTTTTCCTTTTTATTCCCTAGATCGCTCTTGTCTTGGTGTTTAATTTTCCTATTTAGACTATTTTAGAAAATCTATTTAAGGTCGATTATGCTGCTACACCTGACCAACTTGAGGAACATTTTCGCGGTTGTGGTATAATTGAGCGTGTTACAATTTTGACAGACAAATTTACTGGACATCCAAAAGGGTATTTTCTTTGGCCTTTATTTAATTTGTCTAATTTAACTTTTTGTAGTTTTGCCTACGTGCAATTTGCCGATATTGATGGAATGCAGAATTCGCTGTCTCTCGGTGATTCTCTTTTTTTGGGTCGTCAAATCAAGGTTGTGCCAAAACGTACAAACAAGCCGGGCATTAGTACAACTAATCGACCGCCGCGAGGGAGAGGTTCTACTAGCGGACGTGCACGTGTTGTTATCAAATATATTTATCCTGGAATGCGAGGACGACCACGAGCATCGAGGTTATATTTTTATTTAAATGAGACTTTTGGCAATAAGGCGGTGCTTAAAAAATATGGCGTTAATTAACATGTTCCTCCACTATACTTTTGGGACTAGGGCTTGTGTGAGTGAATTCACAATTGGATCTCGTCAGAGATTCAATTAAGATGATAAATAATTTAACTTGTTGCCATAAAATCATTTTGGAAATAGAAGGCCCTAATCACCCAGAGTTCTTGTACACAAGCAAAATGCCGGACCATTGATTCTAAAACGAAGAGATGGGTACCTATCGTCATTTAATGGGTACCTATCGCCATAGAAAGGATTGTAACATATATTAAGACTGACCATTTCTGCATCTCTTGTTACGAAAACAAGGTTATATGTAATTCGTTCACTAGTTAATGAATTATAATGAAAGAAAAGGGGCTAGATGAAATTGTGTATGGGTTGTACAATTTTACACTAGTTTTGGTCCCCGAAATTTGATTTTCATTTTAAGATTTTTTAATTTTGTTTTTTAACTTTAATTTTAAGAAGACGTGCAGCATTTTTCTCACCATACTGATTTGATGAAGATGGCTCAAATTAGATAAGAAAAGGGATTATTTTGAAGAGCTATGGCTTGCGTTTTGTTGTTCTCTTAAATAATTGGTCGATATGAATTTTTCGTTTTTTTCAAAATTTATTGGGCGAATTTTGTTTATTTTAAGGTTTTATTTTATTTTAAAAATTTCAAAAAAAATTCGCTCTTCTGGCAATTATCTATTTTGTTATAATTTTTCATTCATTTTTTCTCCATTTTAACCCTTTTATGGGGGTAAGCGAACATTTTGGGAAAGAAAAAAAATTTAAAAAAATATTCAAACGCGGAAAAAAATTTAAAAATTAATACAAAAACGCAAAGATAAAAATTCCAAAGAAAAATTACAAAATAACATTTACCGCAGAATAAATTCTTTTCAACAATTTTTGTTTTTTATTAATTTGGTTAACGTTTAAAAGCTTTTCTAGAACTACAGACTAGGGTATTGAATTAGATTAGAATTAAAGAAATCAGATTTTATAGATGTTTAATTAATTAAAATAGAGTCCCTTATTTAGATAATCAATAAAGATAGGTTAAAAATTAATTTAATTAATTCAAATAGTCCTTATTTAGGATATGAAATTAAACTAGGTAACTCTGAAAAGATTTAGGTTTGCCTAGTTTATCTATTAGTTTCTTCTAATTAAAATAAAAATTATCTTTTTGTGAAGTTCCTTTTTTGCTGATAAATATGTAGTTCTCAGGAATCAAGTTTTTGATTTTTTATGAATGCACACAAATCTCATCTTGTAGGATTTTCCTTACAATATTCCAAATGCAGTTCTCGAATACATAATTAATATTTCAATAATTTAGAACATAAATTAGCTAAACGTGAAAATTACCTTTTATTATTTTCCCCCAAAAATGGTCATTAATTTTATTGAGCACATTTTTGGCTACTTTTTTTAATCCTCATCCAAAAGTTTTTTCTCAATCGCACAGCTGGATGTGGTGTTTAAAAGCTAAAAAACTAACCAAATATACACTAATTTGCCGTCAAATTCTCAGGAGATCTTTTATAAAAGGTGAGTGATTAAAAGGGGGAAAGAGGAGAGAAGAATATATTTTCTCTTCACAATGTGTAAGGGAGAAAGGGAATTAGCGGTGTGGAATTAATAGAAAGCTTCTGCACAGTTTAAAAAAGCTATATGCGCACTTTAAATCGACTGAAAGCAAAAAATTCAGTCATTAATTGTAAAAGTCAGCTGGAAATTAAAGTAAGGCTTTTTTCAAGTTAAAGATATATTTCTTGATTTTTCCCCCAAATAGAGAAGATGCGCACATTTTTTAAAGTATTGAAGATTGCACTTTATATTCATTTACTTTTCTTTATTTATTAATTTTTATTTTAAAATTATTTTTTAAATTTAATTTTATAAATATTTAAGTAATTCAGAATATGTTAAGAAATTTATAGAATATACATATATCTCCCATTTCTTACCAAATATCCATTTTCTTACCAAATATCTCCCATTTTTTACCAAATATCTCCCATTTCTTACCAAATATCTCCCATTTCTTACCAAATCCTAAAAAATCTGATAAAATATAAATTGATTGTTAAATTGTTAAAAATAATTCTTAAAAATATAATCTACCAAAATTTACTTGTTTTAAAGGGTTTATTTTATTTTCATAACTGGCTAATAATCATTAAGAACAGACACTATCGTTTAGAAAATAATTTAAAAGGGGAGCGATTTAATTCATTTTTATTATGACAAAAATTTAAATAATAATTTAGTGTTTTATTACAACTTTTCTTATTTTTAAATTCTTAATAATTAAAATTTTAATTTTGAATAATTTCATCTAAAATTCTGATTCTTTCTTTCGGACCAATTCTAATTTGTATGTTTATTCTAAAATCTTTTAAGATTACTTTTAAAGACAAAATCTGATTTAAATATTTTTTTTTCAATTCTTAATTAAATATTCTAAATATTCCAACTTTATTTACTTTTTTGTCCTATTTACTTTTTGTATCAAGTAAAGAAGATGCGCATAATAACACATTATTTATTCTATACAAATTTCTCTATGTATATCTCTCTCATAATTTATTTATATTCCCCCAGACATCTAAATAATATATTGCTTTGTTGATCACATCATCTCCAAGTGGACAAAGAGAGAAAGAAAGAAAACAGCCTCCGGCTTCCAGCCGTGATTGTTCTCGTCCATCTTTATTTGCTTTCTGGTCATTTGCTGCCAAACCCGCCTTTTTCTAATAGTCTCTGGTCAGTCATTGATTTAAGAATGTGACGCGCAATGAGTCGGCATTGTTAAAGACTTTATTGTTTGCTTATAAAAATTAAAAATGGACCAAAAAATTATTTTGTTAGTTTTTTAGCCCGTTTATGTTACACATTTTTGTTTTTAATAACCTTTAATGATCTTTAAATTCATTTATTTTTTGTTAACAAGAATGTGGCCCTACACAAATGTTTCCATTTCAAACGCCCTAAAGATAGTGGACAGCTTTTACAATTTATCATAATTAAAAAGTTGTAACTAGTAAGAACATGACAAGGGAACATTTTATGAATTTTAGAAATACAAAAGAATACTAATTCGAATTACCGTATATGTTCTATTGACTACCCCTTCCAGGGAGAGGTTCAAACAATAATTACCCAGGGTAATTATTCTAGCATATACGGTAGCATTGCCAGGATTAAATATTACTAGGTTCCCTACAACTTTTTGCTCAGCGCTGTCCTATATTGGACATTAGTTTATTAACTAGTTTTTTTATCCTAATTTTTCCCCAAATCCCGATTAGCCTAAATTTATTAATGCTGTAATCTTCTATCAATTAATTAATTAATCATTTATTTGAATTAATTTTCATTTGCCTCCACAAAAACTTTATTTATTTTTTATTTGTCTCGATTTAAATTAGCGGAAACATTTGATTGCGACTAAACAAACGTTTAAACTAAATTCATCTTTATATTTTTATTCTCTATTTGGGTGAAAACAAAGAAAAAAAAGATTTCTAAAATAAAGGAAAATAAAAATAAAAGATGCCATCTTCTATTTTTTCTTTACACCTTCTCTTTTTTAGCTAAATCATCAATTTTCAATTTTTCTGGTATTTAGATCAACAACCATTGAATTTTCTTTTTATTTAAAATAAATAAAAGCAAATTAGGGGGAGAAGATAGTTTAAGAATTGGGGAGAAAAAAGGAAACATTAAATAGAAAATAGAACATTCAATTATATCATTTTAACGATAATGATATTATTTAGGTCTTTTATTTTGTATTAAAATTAATCTTCTTTATAGTACATTAATCTAATAATTTTTTAAAATAATTTTTTTGTTAAAATTAAAAATTAACGTTCTTAAATTTAAATAAATAAATTTATTTAATTAAAAAATTATCTTAAAAATATTTTTTTATCCGAGTCAATTCAAACCGGAAATTTTCACTAAAATTCACTTTCTTCTTCTCATCCTCATGCAAATGATTTTTCTTTTTCCCAATTCTCTCCAATTTTTTTCGTGAATTTACAAACCTTGACCTCTTTACCAGATGAATAAAGAATAAATAAAAGTTTATATTATTTAGAAAGGAAATTTTTTAAAACTAAGGGACTTTTAAATTTTTATATGAAAGCAGGATTCATTTTCTGATAGATTTTCATTGATGGAAAATTTATCGGTATAACCGGGATCGAGGCCAGATCTCAAACAAAAATCTCGATTATTGAAATTTTAAAACCGTACGACCCTACTAGTCCAGTCTCTAATCTAAATTATAGATATCGCATAGACAGACTCCCCTCAATGGAAACATAAATTCAAAAATAAACTTGGGTATCTTAAATTGTTTTGTACTATATACTGAATCTATTTAGATAATAAAACATTTTTTAAAAATAATAAAAATACATTTTAATATTATTTTATTCCTTACACAAATTTTAAGAAAGGAACAAATTCAAAAAAAGCCGGTTTTAAATAGAAAGTCCAATTGAGGGGAAAATCATAAGAAAAAGCAATGGGAAAAACTAAAAAAGTAAACCACATCAAAAACCGCATCTGGGGCAGCCAAGTAAGCCATGACCGGATTTTGCTATTTTATTTATTTTTTAAACGCCCATGGTGCGCATCCGTCTGTAACTAACTGCGCATCAACAAAATTATTGCCTGCTTCATTTATAAATTCTCAAAATAAGTGAAAATCTCTTGAATATTTAATTCTTTAATTAAAGAAATCTTTTTTTTTGAAATATATTATTGAACTCTGAAATTATGAATACCAAGCTTGATAGCCTGATGATACGTTAAAAATACAAAGATAAGCAAAATAGAACAGATACCGGATCGGTGGTTTATTATTTCCTCATTTTAGGAATTTATACTGTCGAACCTCGCATATAATATACTGTTAGAGTTGGCCGGAATCGGGATTTAGGAATAATGATCCAGATCCCGACTGCGGTATCTGGATTGGCAAAATATGGATCGGGATTAAAAAACCGGAATAATTCCGCCCGATCACGACCGGGATCCCGGTCATCTCTATATACACTAAATGACCTCAATTTAGTATACCTATCTTTTTAAAATTTGGTTGGCCTCTGAACTTTCAATATTTGATATTTTAAATCACAAGACTATCCCCATGTAAATGAATCGAGAATAATTTTGTATTGTTAACGGAACTTCTTAATATCATCTTCAACCATTTAATTAATTTTCGAAATTATTTATAACCTATGATTTTTAAAATATTTTGTTTGAAAAATCCAGCTTAATCGATAGTAATCAATATTTGATTAAATACATAGTTTATTCTTTAAAATCTTCTTTTTATTCTAATGATTATGGCGATGAATATTCGAGAAGAAAAATTAACGCAAATCTTGCGCCACAAATAAAAAGATAAATACTAAACCCGTTTTTAGTCCATTAGTTATTATTACATTAAGCAACACATTAAATATAATAAAAATTAAAAACATTTACTTCAACTCATTCAGGAATTTAGGCGAGAAAAAATATTTTTGATGAAAAAAATTTTGTGTTTAGGATTATAGAATATTTTTTCCTTTATTATTATTATTTTTTAATTTTTAAACTAATTTAAGAGTTAAGAAAAATAATGGGGTTGATTAAATGATCACAAGACTCTAAATTTTACAAAACAAAAATTTTTCGAACTAATATAATTTTTTTCAATTTTTAAAATTATTGTTAATCAGCTTTCCGCGGGTACAAAAAATCTTCAAGTATGGGTTTCGGTAAATGCTCTAATCAAAACATTCAATTCCGGTCTATTAAAAGGTCTAATTCAGGTGTATATTAAATACGGGTTTCTAGTTATTAGACGGATTTCAATTAAAGCTTTTACATATAAATTTTAATTATAAATATTTCTT